CTGTCTACCATCTACCTATCCATCTAGAATTTCTATATATATATATATACGCACATACATACACATATATGTATGTATGTATGTATGTATGTATGTATGTATGTATGTATGTATGTATGTATGCACGTACATACAGATCCTTCTCTATGTATATTGCATACATCTTGATGCCGACCTATCCATGCAACTAGCTATCTCGATCGTTTCTCTATCTGTCTGTCTGTTTCTGTCCCGGCCTACCTGTCTGACAATCGTTTTGTCTACCTACCTGTCTATTTGTCGATCAGCGTTAACAGCTTGTCTTCTGATGGTTGGTATGTCCACTTCTGTTCTTCTTCTAAGCTGTTATGTAGCGTTGTCGATATCGCAAGGACATCCTCGCAGTTATGCGGTTGGATGCCGATTCGTGCGCGAGCAGCGCTGTAGGGAGTACAGAGAAGGCCGGGTTTTCGGGTTTTTCCGAATGGCGAACCCCAAAACCCTTTGCAGTAGGATTTATGCTACTAGGATTGTGGTGTTTGTTCTGTCGACTCCTCAGGAATATTGGTAAGTATAGATTGGGGTGTGCTTGAGGCTGTAAGTTATATATGCTATGGGAGTCTCCAAAAGTATAGATCCTGATGTCAAAGACCCTGCAAAAAGTGGTAGCTCAACCTCAACCTTACTTTGGTTTGCCTGCTCTGCATCTGCGAGGCGTGCAGCCCAATCTCGTCTTGCGATTAGCGACGGAACGTGTACATGGACACATGCACTTGCTGGGCGCTTCATGTTTGCCTGCATATCTGCGCACTCTCTGGGCTGATTGAGAACCATGTAAAACATGCAGCAGGCCCCCGGATGTGCGGCGGAAGCACATGCGACCAATGCACTGCATCCCCAGGACTGATTTTAGGCTTTGAGAAGTTCAGCGTTCAGAGCTTTGCAGTGTAAGGTATCATATGTATATAGAGTCTTGGGCACGTGCAATAATCCGCAGGAGTCGGTTTGTTGTTCCAATTTTTCCTTCGGGTTTTTAACATAGGCTCTAGACTCTAGCCTCTTTAGACTTTGCGCGGGGACGACAGCTATAAGTACAGGTACAGATAGTGGATAGTTGTGCATTTTGCGGACGTTACAGGGGTTGGAGTGGGTCTCGTGCCGTGCTTGATGGGATTCATGGTTATAAGCAGTGGGGTCGCAAGTATGAGCCATGTGGAATTCTTGTTGCAACTGCCTTTCAGCCTTCATGTATCCGTGCAGTCGCAGGAAGCCCAAGTGGAGTCGAACCGAGCAGAAAGAAAGGGACGTTAAAGGTTTCAGGGTTTGGCTACTTCTAGGCTAGACAGGTTATGTCTCGTGCGCCAGGCTTTCTTGCTCTAAGACGCCCCAGGATCCTCCAAGCAAGCTTTGCACCTGACACAAGACCGTGATGCTAAACGCTAAGCCACTAAGCCTAACTCCAGACATCCAGGAAGCAGGAATGGTGTTCGTTGTTTAACAAGATCAACGCCTCTGGCCTGCTCCATAACACTAGCCTTGGTGGTGAGCTAGTACCTTCAAGACATACAACCAAGCAGGCCGTGGCAGACGAGAGGGAGAGGGATTGGCAGATGATGTCCGGTGAGCTCGAGAATGGTTGGGACGCGCGGCTTGAGGTGGGTCTAAGCACCTGAGGCTTATATGCCTCGCGTGTTCGTCCATTTCGTTGTTTTGAGGTTTGCGTGGCTTCGGGAACTTGAGCTTTGTCTTTGATTGCAGAGCAATCTGTTGGACGGCAGGGTTCGGGATTACTCCCGTAAGGTTCTAAAGAAACTCGAGGTGGGGTTCTATGCTCTTCAACCGTATACGTAAATTTGCATTAGTTGTACCGACTACTAACGTTCAAGATAGCATCACCAAGAAGCCCTGCGAGCTTCTGAATCCCCGTTTCAAGACCCGCAGGAGCCCGAAGCCATTGGGAAACAAAGAACGAAATTGTTTTGCTGGGCAGTGGAAGGTTCGGAGTTTCGGGCCAAGATTTTGGCTTTAGGATAGACTCGTCTTGGCACCTGCGATGTGCTAAACATCATGACAGAGTATCTGTGAGAGCACTTCTCAGATCATTCTTGGCTCTGAACTCGGTTCTATCAATTGCTTTGCTTGTTATCTCTGGGCACATGTGGGACTCTCTCGCTCTCTCTCTCTCTCTCTCTCTGTCTCTCTCTCAAAGCCTATCTATCTAGCAACCTTCCTTCCTATGTACTTATGTGAATGACCGATGAATATACATGAATTGAGTTAAATGGAAGAGAACAAGCCCTGAATCCTTGACCTTCGATCCGAAACCGAAGCACCCCTAGCCCTGAACCCTAACCCCTGAGCCATGAACCCCAGGCCCTAGGCCCTGGACCCAAGGACCCCTGGAACGGCCTCGTGGAGGCGCAGCCAAAGCCAAGACCGAAGTCCGCACCGGCGAAGCCGCGTGCCGACCCAGGCGGCGAAGCGAAGCTTTGGAGAGCTGTAGGTTACAAGGGTTCTAGAGTTTTAGGAATTTGGGGGTCTGGGGTTTTGGCCTGTGGATTTAGGATTTTGACTTGAGCTTGCGGCTCTTGAAAGATGTGAAGATGTTCGTGTCAGGGCTTGATAAGTGTTCGCGCCAGGTGTTGCAGGGGGTAGACGGGTTGAGGGTTTGAGGTTCGGGGTTTAGGGTAGTGGGTCTTGGGGTGTCGGGCTGAGCTTTGGGTGTAGGCTTCGAATTGAGGACCTTCTCGTGGGCCGATCTTGGCCGTCGAAGGTTCGGTCCTCAAGCCCGCAAAGTTTTGCTTCATGCACGCCAGCAGCGCATATTTTTCTAATGCAAATCACATTAAATCACCCTATGTGGCCATTAGGGACTGACACCCCGTGTGCATGGAGGCTCGTCATCGAGACAAGGTTTCCCCACAAGGTCTAACCATCTGGGAGTGTCACAAATGAGGGGCCCCAGTGTGGCAAGTTAGATATTCGGATACTTATATAAGAGGGAGTCGTAATCGCAATTACGCTGTCATGTTACCTGCTCTGGCTCAGTTCTCGATCTTTTTTAAAGTGTTTGAACCATGGCTTATCTTCGCACATCAAATCCAAGTCTGCCCACACTTCCCCGTGAACCCTGAACACCGAATACTAGGCCTTCACCCGAAACCATCTTGAACCCTTTAGGCCCTAAAACCCTGTGAGCCCTGAGTCCTGCAAAGCTTACAGGACCCTTCGACCCTGAATCCCGACTACCCATAAACTTCCATAAACCCTAGAACGATGCTTAACCCTCATCCCCGACCAGGCCCTTCGCTCAGCCCAAGCGAAGCAAGCTTCGTCGTTGCCCATCGCATCCAACAGCAGCAGATCCAGCGCGGTCAATTCTGGATCGAGGAGTGTAGAGCTGTTGTAGTTGTTCGTCGGGTGTGACTGGGTTGTCGCAGGGTGCTTGGATGTTGTTTTGAGTACGGGCCCAAACAGGCACAATCAAAACAGTCTTATATTTGATATAAAGTATAAGGGCTCCTACAACGGAAATTCCAGAAATCTTTTTGGGGGCCGCTCGCTAGCGTAATCAGGGAGAGATCGGGGAATGGCTTGGTTGAATGGGTCAGACTGCTTGGACGATCTTGGACACATTGATTAGATAGCCTTCTCGGGCTTGTTTGTCGTGCCGAGGAGTAGCCCAAGTCCATGAAAGCAAAAAGTACCACCCCTAACCCAATCATTTTAAACCCTCAGGAGATGCGGCGTGAGCACGCGGAGGCCGAGAGGAAGGCGCGGATTGCGCAGGAGACGCGATGGCTCAGCAGTGCTGGAGTGTGAAGTTGTGGGATTTAAACGAGGTTTGTAGGCAATAGTAGGATCCTGAGCATACGAACCATAATAGCCTGTAAAATGTAAGGCGTAGCCATAATTACAACAGGATTTCCATTACCGTATGCAACTTTGGCAAGCTCTATCCAGAGCCTGATAACATCGTATTAACTCCCTACCGCCCCCCCATAAAGAATGTTCTGCTGCAGCACCTTGGATTACAATTGTAGCTACTATCATATGATGCCCCGCAACCCTATTCCAGATCTGGAAGCTTCTATACCACAACCGCCAGCTCTCTTGGAGGAGAAGGCCCGCCAACTGTCAGACCAAGCTGTCCACCGTGAACTGCGGCAGGCCATAGCGCAGGCGGCAAGACTCGAGGAGCCGATTCTTCGGGTGGGTGGGGAGGAGTTAGGATGAGTTTATAGTTTTTCTTCATTTGCTTCAAGCAAGAAGTCCAGAAATTCGATCTTGTTTATACTTGGATCTTACAGTTTTTGTAGGCAGTGTTTTGGGGTTCGGGCCTTGAGAGGGTGTGTGACATGCGGTTTTGTCTTAAACTAGGTTTGCTTGTCAGGTTTTGTAATTGTTCAGAACAACGTTTCGGCTTTTTTGACAGAACATGCATGTTCCTGACTAGTTACACTCAGCAATGGGTTTTACGGTATACCCCCGGCGGCCTGTAGGCGAATGCCACCACTTGTTATGTGCCTTGTACTCTCGCTCGTTTAGGGTACCCCTGGCGGTGGATGGTGCAGGACTTCGTCCAGCAGCGGCAGAGCCTTTTATACCAAACCTCCCATGTCTATTGGCCCTAATCCCCTAAGTGTATCTGAAGGTATAGCATCGGTAGCGGTAGCGGCAGGTGAAGTTCTACAAAAGCACCTTGTTTACACACATACATGTACATGCCCATGCCCGCACATCCTCAGCCCTAGACACAAAAGCCCGCCCCCTCCGCAAAGCCGCAAATCAAACTCAAACTCGAAAGCCTCAAAGCCCTAAACTGCAAACCCCAAAATGCTAAAGCTCTGAGCACTAACTTCAGAGAACCCTAACATCTCGACAGGCACCTACACCATGTACCACCTTCGAAAGCCGCACGCGTAAATATCTTGATCATGTACAGGTTTATATACACGTATGCGAACCAGCCCTATACATGACCTCAGGCAGTGTCCAGACAAGCTTGTGCAAGCCCTGGAAAATCCTTGAACATCTTTGCACTCAACCTGGATCGAGCCCTCTAACTCTGAAGACTCTACAGCTCGAGAAAATCCTTTGAAAGCCCGATTGACAGAACCCTTCGAAAGCCTGGTGAACCCGTAGGGACCCGATGTTTCCAGGAGCCCGAGCTTGAAAGGTCCCAAAGCCTGCGCCGCAAGTCCGTCTCCTTCGGAGGGGCTCCTTGCAGCGAATGTTTTAGCAAAGGCTTAGAGCAGGATTTTACAAGGGTCTTGTCCTGTTTGGGGACTGAGGGCTTTGATGTAGGGACCTGCTTGATTGTACCCTTCTTCCCTGGGCTTTGATCTCCACTATGTCTAAATATGTCGACCTCTGGGCCTAACAATCACAACTTTAGGTGTAGTGACTCTATAGAATGGGGAATGTACCACAATACCCGCGTCTTAGCGCACCTCAGGTAATCAAAGACACTACCTAAGGCACCCTAGGCCCTGGCCCTAGATACTAGACACCCCATCCAGGATTCCTGGACCCTGCATGCCGCTGACCCCTAAATGCTGTTGCAGGCCTTGTCAGAATCACTAAGAGAGCCAATGCTCTTCCCCTTGACATGCTGAAGCCTTACTTGTGTCCTAAACGTCCTAAACACTGCACTGAACACAAAACCCTGACGCCGAAAGTTCTAAAGCCCGAACCCTGAACCCCAACCCGCAAAAGCCCTAACCACAAACCTGAAGCCACCAAAACAGAAGCCGACGCCCTTCACACTGCCCTTGTCAAATCCTTTAAATAAAGCCCTACAAAAGCTTGAGCCCCTTATTCAAGACCTGCAATCCCCTCCGCTCTCCCCTCCCTTCCCCTTTTTGTGAAGCTTAGGCTCAGGATCCCGAGGCCGTGACCGAAGCCCATGGAGGCCAAAGCGAGGCCAGGGAGCCGGAAGCGAGGCGGGATGCGGCTGGGGTGGAGAGGGGGGAGTTATCGCAGATTGTTTACGCTGTGTTGTTTTGCTTTGTTTCGGTGTAATGTGTGTTCATGGCTTCTTTGTCTGGGCTTGGGGAGTGTTTGAGACTAAGCTTGAAGGTTACCATGCTCTTGACATCGAAGGCATAGATATACTTTTGCATGGTATGTAGAACTGCAGACCTGACACCAGCTAGGCCTTTAGAACTCCTACACCGTGCTCTGGACATGTGCTTTTGCCTCTTTCAATGTCAAGCCATGTGCACGTGCATGTACATGTTTGCAGGTATAAAGTGCCTATACCCTAAACCCGCACATCATAGACATGGCGGTGTGTACAAGGGCATGAAGCTCACGAGTCTTATACCCCACAACCTTCGCCTAAGCAAGACGATGTCCTTCCGCGGTTATTACACACTCACAAAGCCGCGAGCCTTACGAATCCGCTTTACATCAGCTCTGCAGCCCCAAACCTGCAGCACCCAAGCGCATTTATGGTTCTGGTCCGTCCCCTAAATCGGGGGGCCTAACGACAATTACGCATGAAGGCCGGATTCCCGAAAGTAAAAACGCTCCCCAACCCAATAACCACAAACAAAAAGCTTGAACCCCAAAGCAACCCTCAGCCTCAGCCCTAACCCCAAAACCGCAAAATCCTACCATACAGAACTGTAAGGCTATAGAAACCCTACGAAAAGCCAGATGACCAGCTTTACAGCCCCTTACAACACGTTCAAAATCCCTTTACAGGCGTGGCAGCATCCTAAAGTCCAGCTCCTTCTGCAGCCGCACGGCAGCTTGGTTCGATTACTTTTCACTCAGGGCTCGGAGCACCTGATCAAAACGGACGTTTAGACACACTGTAAGGTTTTAAGAGCTGGGTTTTGTCAAGCCTCTGCTTATACAGGAGTCCCAGCCCACGAAACCTACTTTCTTAGGGAAGTGATAAGCTCTGCTGGTGCGGATTACATGCAGCAAATGGTTGTCAAGATGCTTGTTGCAGCATCGGCCCGGACATGTAATAGGACCAGTATTGCGAAGGGATCCTCGATGTATTTATAGCTCAAGGCCTCAAACTTTAGTCCGGTTATTCAGGCTCCTACAGTAGGTATTTAAGGATATGCCTATAAGCTTTTGGGACATACCTTAAACTGCGCAAGGTGCTTGCTTTTGACTTGTGACTTAAGACAGCTTCCTCAGTGAATTTGTATTGGGTTCGGTCAGCTCCACGTGGCCTTCCAGCAGCGCCGGAGCCAGGTGGCGATCTGGTAGCGAGAGCAGCTCGCGTCTCGGCGAGCCGATGCTCGAGACACCGTGACATTCGCCCGCCACTGCCTTCCATCGCTCGGGATCAACCAACCTTGCGACCGCGAATGTGTGGCCATCCCTTTCTTCGTGGCCTTCGTTACGTCTGGTGAGGTGATGCTGCCGGACATGGCCTTTTTTGGAAACTCGTGAAGGGTCGCTTCGTGCTTAGAGTCTTGAGTTTTATTGTTCTAGGGCCTCTGCAGCGAATGTGGGCATTGAATTTTGAGGGTTTGGTACTTTAGGCTTGCCGGGGTTTAGTTCGGGTGCAATGGCTGTCTAAAGCTTTGGAGATTGAGAGCTTGAGTCAGGTACGGCCTGCGGCTGACTTCATAACCGAAACCCTAAACCCCAACCCTCAAAGTCAGGAGTGTCTACCAGTCTACCAAACCGACCTAGTCGACAGGGAGCTGGGGCTTTGTGGGTTCGAGCTTGTAGCTGTCCGTCGTTCTGTGGGGATTAGGATGTAGCAAGACTTAGGGCTTTCCGGGTTAACGTGATTTAGGGGTACCTCGAGGAGAGGTGTCGGTGTTCGTCAGGTAAAAGAAGTTAGTGACTAGTGTTGTTGTTTCGGTGCGTGTTTGTGGTTTCGGAAGGCAGCAAGGTTTCAGGGTTTTAGGTTCTGCAGAGGGTGACAGGTTCCTTAGGGCTTTTGGCAGACTAGGGTATACAGGTGTTTGAGGGGATCTTCGGGTTTTAGCGGCACTGGATGAGGGTTTAGGAACGTGGTGTCAGTTTGGATATGAGCAGTGACACAAGGATGCCACCCCATTGTCCGGAGATGACCATTTGTATAGAACTGAAGCAGTAGGCCGAACCTTATTTCACGTATCCTCAACGTACCTCGGCGTAAGGAGGCAGTGTCCACTATGGTGATGTCACAAATCATAGTTTGCTAAGACTACAGGTTCCTGGCGTATACGACTGTTCGACTTCCGGCATACTCCTTGGCTCCCATTACCTCAACCATCACCGGTCTAAGCCTCAATCCACCTTTCAGCACCCCATAGACATGTTCAAACTTTCGACTTTGCACCTGTACGTACATGCATGTATGTTTACATGCATACACATAGAAGTTATATTATGGATAAGCACCTCAAAATATGCATAGTATGTGTGTATATATACCTATCTATTTATCTATCTGTATATATATATATATATACATATATATATATATATATGTATATACGTACATAGACACGCACACATTCGTAGGCCCTGAGCCTAGGCTAACTACGAGGAGAGGCTTGAGGACGCGCGAGAATCTTGGTTCGGACTTGCTGACCCGATCAGACATTTCAGTTTGTTGCAATAGGGCATACGTTCGGGTGTTGGTGAGTGTGTGTCGCGGCCCCCAGGCAGATGAGTGCGCCTACAACATGGGGTGTCCTTTCCAAAAACAGCAACACCTATACTTTCTAAAGGGTTTAAGACTTAGTTATCGCCACGCATGTCGGTGGAGGCCTCGCTTTTCGTCGTCGGAGTACTGGAGCTCCGGTGACGAGCGAGGTTTGGAAAGGTTTACGCGCGTGTTCGGCCTGACCGGGTTCATACAAGGTGTATGAGGTCAAAACTGTGTGTTTGTGGCTTTGGCTTCACGGGGATTGTTCGAAGCACGCCTTCAGATCCGAGGAGTCGGCTCGAGCGAACGGAATGCAGCGCAGGCACAGCACCTGTGGCAGTGTGAGTTCCGAAGGCCGGGGAGCTGCCGAGCCTATGCGGGTTTTGGGGGGTGCAGGCTTTTTTTTGGAAAGGGAGCTCAGTGTTTAGACAGCGACGGCAAGCAGATGTTGGGCGTTTATCAGGTTTCATGGGGACCTATGGTCCGGCGTAGTCATCATTAGTGTTAGTAGGGTTTTCTGGGTTTCGGTTGTCGGGTCCTCGTGGCTTTAGGGCTTTAGGTTGGGTTAGGCCACGTTTTATGGCTAAGGGTTCGGCTTCGGAGATTCAGTTCGGAACCTCCCATGACTCGGTAGCCTTGAAGCATCATACCGTTATATCAACATTTGTGTCAGCAGTTGCTTCTTTGAGCAGACCAAACAATAATGCTACATTTCATGCAAAATTCAGAACTCTCTGAAGCGTAAACCCTGTAGAAATCTTCAACCCTCATGATTCCCAAATCCTGAAATCTGAACCCCGAATCTTTCCCTTAAACCTGGCCCCAAAACCTCTAGATTCATCACCCCTGACCATCACAGCACTACAGTCCTCAAAGCCTAGATGCTCAAGCAACCTGACATTTCTAGCCCCATGACCCCTAAATCTGAAAACCTGAACCTTAATATGCCATACACCCAAAACTCGAAACCCTAAGTCGACTAAGTCGACCAGGAACCAAGAGCAACAAAAGCCTTGAAAACCCGACACTCTAAACAGACACACCCAAACCTGAAAGCCAGAAACGTACAACTCAAAGTCTTGAGTCCCAAACACAATGCGCCAGAAGCCCTAGAAAAAATACGAATGCACGTGCAGAAGAGCCCTTCTTGAAGATGAGCAAGGAAACGGAGCGGAGCCTCCAAGAAGACTCAGGCGACCCCGGGCTGCCCTCTCTGTCGGTCCTCCGGGCGCTGCGGAAGGAAGCGGAAGCCCTGGTCAAGTACACGCAGGAGGCCGAAGCCGGGGCGCTGTGGGCGGGGGAAGCCGGCTTGTGCTTTCGGCTCTATTGGGTTTGGGGATGCGCTGCTGCCTCATCTTTCAGGCTCATACCGGACCTCTCGTTCTTTTGAAGCTGTTCCGATCTTTCCGGTTAGAACTGTAACTAGCAAGTTGGTTTTCCAGTACCCAAATTTTGACGCTTTTGTGGATGTTATGGGTTGCAGGGTCGAGCGTTACAGAAACCTGCTAGTGGCTATGGCATGTACTAGTCAACCTTGCCGTGGAGCTGAGTACAACAAGATGTCAGTTTGCGAAACTCTGCAGCAGCAGTGTCCAGACTACACAGGGCCTCGGAGTGGTGACGTGGTTGGGTCAAGGGAGTCTTTGTCGCTTCTAGTAGGCTTCATCTCGGGTTCTTATAGAGCCTGTATCGACTTTTCCAGAGCGCGCAGTGCGTGCTCGGGATGAAGAGGGTCGTTCAGAGGGCTTCCATTGCCGAAACGGGCTTGGGTTCAGGGTTGGTGGCGTGTCCCATACCGTACCCAGCGCGCAAATCCTCAGAGTTTTGAGGCTTCAGCATGGTCATTTGGGTTGTTGCAGAAATAAGCACTATCCCTGCAGATCCCCCCAAGGTCTTCCAGACCCCATATCCCTACCTTTACATCATGTTTCCAATCATTGAGAGCCCCATCTTCTCTCACAGGGCTCATAAACTGGAGTACGCTTCAGGCAAAAGTCCGCACCCAAGAAGAAAAGCCGCTCGGACATGCTGTAAGTGCACCTTCGTCGGTCTCAGAGCCAGGATTGTTCTGACCCTCCAAGTGCACATGGTAACGGGTTAAATGTCAGTGCTGGATCTGGATGCTACGGATTTTGCACAGATTCGGGGATACGACGATAAAGCAAGACTCCGTGCCCGTAGCCCGAAGCATAAACTCATCCCCACCAGTGCGCCCCAGCCTCCAGATGACCCTGCCTCGAACCATGGTAGTTTTCCGAATGCAGTTGCGATGGTGATGATGACGACAACGGTAGAGAAGATGATCGACCGAAGGCCACAGTGATCACGATGCTATTGATATCGCCAGCCGTGTGAGCACGAATGTCTCTCGTGCGGAAACCAATAGTACAAAGCTTCACCCCCCTGGATTCGGCAGCCAAGGAGAGACAAAGCGATTCGGGAGGCAGCTTGCAAGTACGGGCTTGTGGACACGAATGTTTGCACCCAAGCCGAAACCTGAACCCTGATCCCTAACACCGAAGCCGTAAATCTTGAAACCTGGAGTTTCAATACTCCCCACTCCATATAGACCCTCATAAAGCCTGAAACAAGAACATCCAAATCATCCAAAACCTTGTGCCCCGATGAGAACCCCGCAACACCAAAACCTTCCAATTCCTGGCTACGCCGAGCCCCTGAAGCACAAGCCATGGCTCTACAAGTGTTCCATGTGGGTTCTTTAGTCGGGCTTTATAGGGGTTCGCAATGGGTCCTTCGCAATGGGTCCTATGACCCCGCAGGTGATAGGGCTTGAACCCGCTTTCTAGATTGACCTTGACAGGGCTTATAAGATGGTTGCTGAGTGAAGGTTCTTGGGTCGCTTGACCCCTGGATTTCATATCCAGTTTATGACTCGCAACACGACCAAGACTGAAGGTTCAAAGTTTCGGCTTTCAGTTCATGCATTACGCATTACTTGCCTGCAGTTTTGAATCGACAGCTCGAAGCGTAAACCGGAACAACACTATGCCTAGCACCCGAAAACCCCTGCATTAAAGAAGAAGGCAATTGCCTTGCCCCGAAGCCGCATAAATTATGCTCATTGTCACACGTAGTGACGTGCTCACAAACGTCGCAAATTTTTCAAAGATGCTTCACCTGATACCACAGGTTGTTTCCGCAAGTCTTCGAACCCTCAAGCTCCGACTTGGGAGGTCGTCGAAAGATCGCGATGTGCACAAGAAGAGCGACTGCACCAGGCCCCCGCCCCAAGGGTTGAATCAGTAAGGTACTTGAAGCGACTGCGGCATTATGGTGTTGGCCGTCCGACATAATGAGGTAAAGAAGCAATTGGGGTTGCGGGTAGTTTGTGTGGAAGCCAGCTACATGCTGATCGCGCGGCCAATCTGAAGGCATGCTCACAGCAACCGGGCAATTCCCAAAATCCCTTCGAACGCGCTGACCCCTATGCAATCGTTCTGAATCTGGCGGGCGTACCTTGCCTGCTTCCAACGAGAACAATATCTTGCGGATGATGTTTCCGGCCTAGGCATGAACGAACAAACATGGATTGGTCCCAGTGCAACCAGCCCAAAGGGTCCAGGTATGTGTATGG